TTTGGAAGTTTAGGCATATATATAGGGGAACGCCTCGTCGGCATCTTTTGACGACGGGGTGGAGTAATTTTGTGAATCACAAGAAGCTTGTGGCTGGTGATTCGATTGTGTTTCTTAGAGCGGATAATGGAGATCTTTGTGTGGGAATTCGTAGGGCGAAGAGAGGACTAGGGAGTGGGCATGAGTATCAATCTGGATGGAATTTGGGGGCTGGAAGCTCTGTTTCACAAATCGGGGGTTATTCTCCATTCTTAAGTGAGGGGGAGAGTAAATTTATGAGGAAGGACTGTAATGGGGATACGAGGGGAAGAGTAAGGGCTGAATCGGTGATTGAAGTTGCCACTCGTGCTGCTAGCGGGCAGCCCTTTGAGGTTGTTTACTATCCACGAGCAAGCACTCCTGAGTTCTGTGTGAAGGCCTCGTCAGTTAGAGCTGCAATGCAGATCCAGTGGTATCCTGGGATGAGGTTCAAAATGGCTTTTGAAACCGACGACTCTTCTCGGATTAGCTGGTTCATGGGAATGATATCTACTGCTCAGGTTGTTGATCCCATCCGTTGGCCTAACTCTCCATGGCGTCTTCTGCAGGTATTTTAACTTTACTCCTTCGATTGCCATTGAATAATTGGCATCCATATTTTCGAAGAATTAATAGTCACCTCATGGATTTGTTTGATTTAACGTCTTTCAGGTAGCATGGGATGAGCCTGATTTACTCCACAATGTGAAGCGAGTTAGCCCGTGGCTGGTTGAATTGGTCACAAGCATACCAGCAATCCATCTTAACAATCCTTTCTCACCACCGAGGAAAAAGATGCGGCTTCCACAGCACCCGGACATGCCCTTACCATACCAAATTCCAATGCCTTCTTTTTCCAGCAACTCTTTCAGGTCCAGCAGCCCCGTGTGTTGCATTACAGACAACATTCCTGGAGGCATACAGGGAGCCAGGCACGAACCGTTCGGAATATCTTCATCAGATCTCCGCTCCAACAAGCTGCATCCAGGTCTGTTTCCACCTGGTTTTCATCAATTTGATCGTACTGCTCCACCAACTAGACTCTCCGGTGACAACTTTAGCAGCGACAATGGGAACAATAGGAATATATCTTCCTTGTTAACAATAGGAAATCCGACCCGGAGTTTGAAACGAAGCAATGAAACAAAGAGACCCCATATCTTATTGTTCGGTCAACTCATTTTCAGTGAGCATCAGGCTTCTCAGAGCTGCTCAGCTGATACTGTCGGAAACAGTTCGTCAGATGGGAATACAGAGAAAACTGTGATCTCCTCTGATGTAACTGGATCTGCCTTGCATCAAAATGCTCAGGAAAATTCTTCCGAAGAAGGGTCTCCTTGGCACAAAGAGCATCAGAAAACTGAGCTCGGTTTGGAGGCGGGTCATTGCAAGGTGTTCATGGAATCAGAGAACGTAGGAAGAACCCTCGATCTTTCAGTTCTCGGTTCATATGAAGAGATGTATGGGAAGCTGGCTAACATGTTCGGCATAGAAAGATCAGAGATGCTGAGCAGTGTGCTCTACCGCGATGCTTCCGGTTCCGTTAAACACACCGGAGATGAGCCCTTCAGGTTCCTTAGCATCAATTCCTTATCCTCGCTAAACATTTGCTTTAGATTTATCTGACTTATAATCATGTCTCTCGCAGTGAGTTTATGAAGTCAGCAAGGAGGCTAAACATTCTTATGGATTCGAGCAGCGACAACTTAGAAAGATAGAGATGAACCGATTCCCGCAAATTGTACAGTTTTTCCCCAAGACTTTGTTTTTGATTTCCATTTCATCTCTGGTAGTTGTGAGAAAGCTCCATTTTCAGCCATTCTTATGGAACTGTAAACCGCATTTTGTTGGTTAACTTGCTTTCAACATAAAAAAGGATCGACGTCCTTCGTCATGTTCATTTAATCCGAGTCCTAGAAACTGTACTGCCATTTTTGCTCCTCATAGAGTGTAGTAGGGCTGCAGCATGCTTAATAAATTTTCCTAGTTAAGGCTTTGTTTGTCAATTTTATTATTAGGACAAACCAAACCCTTGCCATGTTCTTTGCATTTAGTCCTTTGAACATTGCAAGAATCAGACAAAAACATCCTTGACAACCTGTTGTTAGGTCATGGGGTCTTGAATTTTTGTGTCTTTGATACAGAGATCACATCTTGAGATAGAAAAAGAGTTGTTTATTTCATATTCGAACTTTTAAATGTCGTCTTCTAAGGATGATTGTATGAACTAACCGAGCTAAAGTTCGAAAACTCCGAGTTTAACGAACATTATATATGTTTATTTGACAGGGAGAGAGACATTTGTATTGCCTAGGTGGAACGTCTCATTAGCATGTTGTTGTTGTTTCTTTGATTTTGAGTTTCTTAATTCTACATTATATATGTATACCTTGTATGAAAATGAACAAATATATATGTATATGTATATGTATATGTATATGTATATGTATATGTATATGTATATGTATATGTATATGTATATGTATATGTATATGTATATGTATATGTATATGTATATGTATATGTATATGTATATGTATATGTATATGTATATGTATATGTATATGTATATGTATATGTATATGTATATGTATATGTATAGGGTATAGGGTATAGGGTATAGGGTATAGGGTATAGGGTATAGGGTATAGGGTATAGGGTATAGGGTATAGGGTATAGGGTATAGGGTATAGGGTATAGGGTATAGGGTATAGGGTATAGGGTATAGGGTATAGGGTATAGGGTATAGGGTATAGGGTATAGGGTATAGGGTATAGGGTATAGGGTATAGGGTATAGGGTATAGGGTATAGGGTATAGGGTATAGGGTATAGGTATAGGGTATAGGGTATAGGGTATAGGGTATAGGGTATAGGGTATAGGGTATAGGGTATAGGGTATAGGGTATAGGGTATAGGGTATAGGGTATAGGGTATAGGGTATAGGGTATAGGGTATATGGTATATGGTATATGGTATAGGGTATAGGGTATAGGGTATAGGGTATAGGGTATAGGGTATAGGGTATAGGGTATAGGGTATAGGGTATAGGGTATAGGGTATAGGGTATATGGTATATGGTATATGGTATATGGTATATGGTATATGGTATATGGTATATGGTATATGGTATATGGTATATGGAATAATTCAATTCAACTTGACTCGAATTTAGTAGATTTGATATGAATTTTTTTAAGATAAAATTTAAGTTATAAAATAAGATCTATCAATTTGAATAATTTGAAATTGTTTTACTCTATTTGATCGGATGTTCATCCCTCGGTGAAGGGAATATTCTACAAACATGATTTTAATGTTATGATGTATTTTATTTACATATGCTAATATTTTGGGCTTTAAATTTTAAGATCTAAAGTTTATGGTACGGGTTTAGGTTTTAAAACATAAAATTTATAGTTTATGATCATTTAAATATATTAAAAATATTAAAATAAATATGTTTGTGAAATGTTTGTTTATTATTAATATATAAAATAATAATTCATATATACACCATTTGACCACATATGTAAAAGTCAACGTCTATCGCATTGGGATCTCATATCACGTGAACAGGGAAAATATATAAATAGAGTCAACAAACATTTAATCCTTAAAATAATAAATATATTTTTTTCAAAAATTAAGTTTTAGTCAGTTGTATTACCGATTTATTACAATTTAATCACTGAATAATTAATTTTGGGGGTGATACATTAATGAAAAATGGTTAATTTCTAATTTGATCTTTAAATTTTAGACAAACTTTTAATTAATATTTTTTTACATTATTTCAACTATAATTCTCTACAAAAATCGGCATCCTTGAATCCGACGCCACCTCCTCTCCGGTCACCTCCTCCGACTGAAACCAACACAAACCTGGGATGTTAATGGACCTTAAATACGGTAAGTTGGCTCTCTCAATTGTCTTTTTATTTTTAGAAGGTTGATTTCCGCCCTTCGATTACTTGTATATTCAATCTTGGGAAGCTACTGGCCAGTGCCAGGAGGATACATGCCGATGAAGGTTCAAAAGTTCTCCCACGATCGTCCGTTGTGACTGTCATGGGTCATGTTTGTTAATAAATAGTATTGCTGCAAAACAATAACGTTAGCATCGAATAATGAGTAATAAACTAATAATAAAATAATAAAAAAAATAAAACAAGTTATTATGTCGGGATAAAAGTCACTGTCTTAGAAGTATTTTTATCTGGATTTGTGTAATTATTATAATGGACATTGTCCCTAAAACTAACATAACCTTCTAAGTTTCGTAGATCCAAATTAAGAAATAAAATCCATTTACATTGATCTGTTCGACAAGAATTATTTTCAAACAAAAAAGAACAGAGAGATTAAATTATCAAATAACACAATATCTGCGTGGTGGCCTGTCCTAAAAGGACTGGCTGAGGGCATGGGTGTGGGCTTATCCTCTGTGATTGTAATGCTTGGAGGAAACCCAAGTTCATTTCATTCGAGCGTGGGGCAGTTCGAATCGATTTGCTAATAATATAAACATGGCTTAGGCACCGAGCCATGAAGACGCCGTGGATCTAGGTCTCGATGTAGCTTCTGCTGTGAAGGAATTTCAAGCTTTGGACAAATTTGTCCAACCCCACCGAAACTGAATTGGCTCTCTTCCAGCTTTTGAGTATCGTGTTGCAATTACTTAACTTCCTGATGTAATAATGGTAGTTTCGAGGTTGAAGAAGCTTCATTGTATTTCTTTTTTGAAGTTGAAATCAATGTTGCAACTTGGAGTTCGAAATGATTCATACAACTAGCAACCGAATCACCGACCTAACTCATCGACTGTTTAACACATGCAGGAGATAGTTGTACTTATCAGCAAGAAACATGTTCAATGTTTCTGAAAAGAAATCTACCATATCTATTGACTGATGCTCAATCTGAACCTTTCTGTTAACCATTTTCGGATCCCGACGAATGCAGCTAGAGCTTAACATGCAACTGATTGAAACATTAACATTACAGACAATTATCACAGTAACTACAAATGTCTGAAACAAATTCGATGATGTTTAAATTATATACAAACTAATCTCGGATATAATACATATTTGCATCTTCAATGAGTTTTTCAGTTATCTTGCTATGTTTGTAAAGGAATTTATGCGGTCGTGGGGGAGTTAAGAAGCTTCATCATGAAGTTGAACTTCACGCCGGGCGCAGTCTTCGGCTGAGGCCAATTTGCTCCTTCTGGAACCTTAATGCATCTGAAACCCTGGTCTTTGTACAGTTTTATTGCACCAGGGTTGTTCAAATCGCAGTGCAAAGCAACGGCACGGCAGCCCCAGCTTCTCGCTTGAGCTTCTGCTTTGGCTATGAGCCTTTTGGCTATTCCCTTCCGACGGAATCTCTCGCGAACCGCAACATTTGATATGTATGCAATTCCAGTCCTACGATAAAGATGCACGTGTCACTTATTACTCGCAAGATTAATAATTAGAGTACTTTCTGAATGAAAAGAGTAACTTCAATTATGAATAAAAGTTGATGAACATCGATATACAATGCTTAACACTTCCAGCAGATCTAATCTACCATACCAGCTTAAAATCGGAACTATAGCATCTATGGAACACCAGTAGAAGGCCTCGAGTTCGGAACTGTGAATTGATATTCTTCTGTTCTTATCTATTTGATAATCATTATTTTTCTCACCCTCTCAGCCTTCTCATGACCATTTTCCGGTAATAGTTTCTTTCCTAGCCAGAACAATCGGTTATTTTCACCAGATAACAACATTAAATGAGAAAGAAGTTTAACTGAGCTACTCTTATAGTATCATAGAACTGTTCTTTGATAACAGAAATTCAACCTCGTGCCGGAAATTACTTTTAAAACACTGAAGCTAGGCATACTTACCAAACTATAGCTTGTTCTTACACTAAAGATCAGGTATGCCAAAAATATTTCCAATTTTGTAAGACACTGCTCACCTTCTAGGATATGCAAGAAATAGTTCGTACCAAACGAAAATATCGAGATTAGAACAACATGATTTAGTAATCTATGTAGAAACTCTGGAACATATCCAGCTTCTGGTAGAATCTAGCTTCACTCGGACTCTCGTTGGTTACAAAATTTTGAATCATCACAAAGGAGAAAACCTCTGTGCCTTTTTCCTTTCCCGGCATTTCGGTATGAATAAGTACACAGAGGGTTCAGTTAATCAAATAAGGTTGGAAAAATAGTTCACTAATGATCCTGAAAGCCATTTATACAGCTACAGAATAGTTATTTCGAACTAAAACACACAGATCATAAGTACTCAACCATAGCTATTTTGAACAGGAACACACGGATCATAAGTGCTCAACCATAGTTATTTCAATCTAGAACACACGGATCATAAGTACTCAACCATAATCAGAAAAGGGTCTTAACCGTAACCAGGCTAGAGCAGCATTTCGGAATTGTTAACAGATATGGTAAATTTCAAGAGCTGCATTTGTGCAAGAACATAAAACCGAAACTTTTAGGACATTTTCATTTTGCAGAAGAAGTAGTTAATGAACTATTATAGAAAAGCAGAGAATAATTGAAATCACCTTCTCTGCAGAAGTGGTCCTTTTCTAGGAAGAAAATCAGCAATGGTATCGATGGTTAATATACCAGTCACATAGCCTTTATTAAGACTAAATCTCCCATCGAAAGCCCCGACTTTGAAATCTTCAGCTCCAATTAAGAACATGTTGTCAACCGAACCACCAATGACGGCAATCAAACAAGTTCTCCTGCAACCAGAAGGAATCGAGAATCCGGAAAGCATTCCCACCAGTCTATTAACTCGTAGCGCGAAATCCAAAGGGAAGGAATATCCGGGAAAGAACGAGCTGCAGTGAGTCTCAGCCACTTCCCAACAATCCTCTAACCGTGCCTCCCGGACAACAATACCCGGAGACACGGCCGGGAAGAGGTCGACAACTTGAGTAGCTCTACATGCTCCTCCTATCCCAACCAAAAACAAACAATGAACATCCACATTTTCAAAAAATATGGCCTCTAATCACAGCAATTTCACTACCCGGAAAACATGACATATAATCAAACAATTGGCAAAGTCAATGCAAGAACAACAAAACACCCAAATCCAACAAGTTCATTTTCAACTAAGTTCACATGTTGACATATACCAAAAACCAATAAATGCCCATTAAAGACGAAATCTTTACCTAATTTGGGAAGTGATGAGTGATGAGAAACCCTGGGAGGAGGAGGGGAAAAGGGTTGGGGCTGTTTGATGGAAATAGAGGATTTTGAGGAAGATGTTGGGGACACAGTGAGTAAGGGACCCGAGGTTAAGCTCCGCATTTCTAGGAGACTCGTGCCTTTCAACTCACTTGTATGTCTGTGTCGAATCTCTATGGCGATTGTTTGAGTGTTAGATTGGGATTTTGGAGAGTGAACTACGAAGGAAGCAATAGATTTTGTTAACCAAGGGACAAAGAGTAAGCAAAGGTAATGCGCAGAGAATACTGGACACAAATGTCGTTGTACTTTGTGTGGGATATTGTCCTTCCCAAAAACAATTTCCCATAGAAGGATTATTTTTTAATTAGGATGAATTGAATAATGCATAGAAGAAGTCGATCAAATTATAAGGTTATTTTCAGAAAATAATTAGAAGATTTTTAAATTTTACAATATATGTAATTTTAGGAAGTTTTTTCTATACATTTTTTTAAAGATATTATATTTTTAGCACATCTTTTTTAAGATGTTATATGATATGTACGATTTTCTATCGAATTTATAACATTCATATCTCAACAAATAATTTCTTTTATGTTCTATATGAGTCATTTCTTTTTCAAATTATCATATTTTTAGAGAAGAATAAATAATTTAAGAAAAGAATAAAGATTAAAATGATGGAATTTATAAATACGAATATTCAAGCGAAATTATAATCCGCATCAAAGCCTCAAGAACCAGCTTAACCATGGAACTACCCAAACAACATATGCAGCTGCAGACAGACTCCACATTAACGCCAAGCAGCAATCGAGGAACACCAATAAAATTAACTCCAGCTCTATAGCTATCGGAAACTCCATAACCCACCAGAAATTATCTGCATATTAGAACAATAATAGAGAGACACGACCACAGAGCTCGAAGGGCTCAAGCTCCAAGAACAGCCTCACGCGAGCATCGGCGAAAGTAGGGATCCTTTGCGACGATCCAACGCCAACGAGCTAAACCAAAAAACAGAAAGATTTGAACCAAAGCAAGCGCCGCAGAGCCAAGGAGCTAACCCCAGTAAAATCTGCAAAGACAAGAGCGCGGAACCAGCCCCGCATGAACCTTGATTCTGATCTAAACTAAAAACGACTTCCAGACAGCAATCACACAGCCAGAATGCAAGCAAATTATGGCCTGATCGAAACAACATTTGGACATCTAACAAAATCATCGATATGGGAGAAAGAAGCTGGCCATTTAGTGATCTGTTTTATTTTATTTTTTAAAAAAATAACATGTATTTTTTTAAAAAGTAGTTTGAACAATTGTGTTTGATGCTACTCGTATCCATGTATACATGGTATTCAGACCCAAAACATTAAGAAATAATATATTTGATTCGTTAGATTAGTGTTAAATATATATATATATATATATCTGATAAATTATAATTATATATATTCTTAATAAATATTCAAATATCTGAATCCTTTCATCTTGAACCAGTAAATTCAAACCCGGTTCATCAACATCCAAAACGGGTCATATAAATTCCAAAAATCCACAAAAAGGTCACTCGTTTTCCAGAGAGGTAGGCGGAGAAACGGTTTAATTTCGGGTCACTACTCAGTACTCACCATCCCCCTTGAGAGATTCCGGCGGCCGGCGGGACCTCTCTTTCTACCTTTTCTACCTCCATTTTCAGATAAACTTAGAAACCCAAGAAAAAACTACGGTAATATTTCAACCTTCTTCTAGTAACTTCTGGATCTTTCTCTAAAATTTAGTTAGGGTCAGGGTTTTAGTCTCTTTTTTCTTTTTTTTCCCCGGAACTAGAAAGAACTATGTCTGGTATACATCGGTCTTCGAGTGCGCCATTGAAGAACGGTCTTCCTCCTCAAGAGCTCCTTGACGATCTTTGCAGGTTCCAGTTTTCTTTCTGTTTCTGTAGAATTTGGTGTTCAATTTCCAGTGTGCTTAGTCTTATTCGGTTGATTTGGGGTTTATGGAAGAAGTAGCTGAATTCAGTTGTTTAATTGTTAAGTTAGGTTTATTAGCACATGAATTTTTATGTTCCTTGTTTGAAATTTTCTGTTTTGAAGGTGCTTACAGTGAATGGATTTGTTATGCAAACTAAACATAGTTTTATATTGCACATATTGGTATCCGGAATTCTTAATTAGAATTTGTTAACAAATTAGTACTTGCTAACCGAGGGTTATTCTATCTATATACAAAATCGTTGATTGGTAAAACGATAATTATTTTGTAAAACTACATCGGCATATGGAATCAGTTCCTATTTCCTGATTCACGCAAAAGAGATTAAAAAACTGTGAATGTTGTGTGCTTTTGTTTAGATTATAGACTTTGAGTAAGCAAGAGAAGATTGAATCAATTAAGATTAAAATAACTCTTTTTTTCCGAGTAGCTGTAGCATTTATGTGGGACTAACCGGTTAAGGTTAAGGTTTATGCTCAAGAATCTTTAGATGTTAGATTGTGTTTTAGCCTTTTAGGTATATCATCCGCCCAAGTATAACACAAGATTTTTTCCTACTTATTATTCTTTGGCAAGCTGTATCACCAGTTTTTCACTGGATATGTTCTCAAAACCAGCAAAATGCACCGAGGAAATTGGTTATAATTTTTATCTAAAGTTATTGCTTATAATTTTTGTGCAGTCGGTTTGTTTTAAATGTGCCGAAAGAGGACCAACAGTCATTTGAGAGAATTCTCTTCCTTGTGGAATATGCACACTGGTTCTATGAAGACAATACAGTGGAAAAAAAATCCATCGCTTAAGTCACTGAATCTGAAGGAATTCACCTCTTTATGTACCCTATAGTTGATGCATCTTTACTGCTGTGTAATCTTGTTGCTACTTGCTAGCACCAGGGTCCACTACTTAAAAGCATGAGTTCCACATAATATTTTCGTGACCACTACACAAATAAAAAATTTGATTGGTTAATTGTATTGCAGTTATTATAGGTGATATACTCCCCTAGTTTATATCATGATTACAAACGTCTGAACTTCTATCTCATATAATCTGTACCATTAGGAAAGGGAAAACCATTATTTTATAACAGGGATTGGAGCTTGAGCTTGTACTATTAAGCTCCAAAATGGAAGTTAGAATTTATGCTATTAAGTGTAGCATAAGTCTGTTTTTTGTTTCTCTGTCATCAATATTCTCTATTTCCTTTTGCAAAATACAAAAAACTGTTTCCTTAACTTGTTCCAGTGTTTAATAGCTGCGATGTTTTAAGGCCTTATGTTGCTCATATAGATGATATATTTAAAGATTTCACTGATTACAAGGTTCGAGTACCTGTAACTGGGGCAATTATTTTGGATGAAACATATGAACGGGTGAGTCTCTTCCTTTTTCTAGATAAAAAAAAAGTCCTTTGACCTCTATAGTTTTTATTTTGAGTAAAAATCACTTTCGTGTATCTGTGCTTAAGAGCAGAGCTTTCCTGTTCTCTCTCCCTATTCCTCTTTAGTCTTTCCACAAATTTCTGATCTTCTGATTCATTTATCAGAGATTTTTCTTTTAGTGCATGTGCATGTGCATCAGTATTTCTTGGTTTTTTTCATCCAAATGTTGTTTTCTAATTGATGGAACTCAACTAAAGCTATTTTTTGCAATTAAAGTTAAGTTGTATAACATTTTCTAGGATTATCATATTTGTTCATATTAATTAGTAGACTTTCATTATAAGATTGTCTTTACTAATTTTGTTTCTGCATTTAACAGTGCCTCCTAGTGAAGGGATGGAAAGGGACAAGCTGGAGTTTCCCACGTGGAAAGAAGAACAAAGATGAGGAGGACCATGTATGTGCCATTCGAGAAGTAAGCTTATTTCACATTGATTAGGTTTTATTTTTATTATTAACTCATTTTTTGTGAAGGGCTGGAAACGGATTCCTAAAGAATCACATTGAGAATTTTGGTTGACGGTTTAACCTTTCGCACATACGATGGATCTATTCTGTGTTGTATGAGCTCTTCAGAGAGCAGTAATTAGACTCTACTAGCTAATGCAGATGGCTATAGATTCAACAGTTACTTAAGAATGAACTTGCTCTCTAGTTGTACAGATTTTTTTTTAGTGAACTCTAGTTGTACAGATAACAGATGGTTATAGATTCAATGGTTACTTCAGAATGATCTTGCTCTCTAGTTGTAAATGATACGGCTGAGGAATAAATGTGGAATGTACATTTTTCTATTAACTAGCTTTCAGTGTCTATTCATTCACCTCTCAATAGAAAAAGCTAGAGTAGGGTTTGACAATCTCTCTATTAAACCTGTCATTAAACTTTATTTGGCACGGAGCCAATGGATATGTAAATTATTACCTGTAATCTATTCATTGCATGTTTCCCTTATTTAGGGAACTAACAGAGTTGATGTCGTACTAAAAAAGATGCATCCTGTTTTTGGTGATAAGAGAATCCAAATAACTATTGATTAGTCATTGAATTCTTTTACCTCTCTTTTGTTTCTTCATCTATGATTGTTAATGTACTTTCAATGAAAATACAGGTCTTAGAAGAAACAGGCTTTGATGTTTCAGCTCTCCTAAACAAAGATGAATACATTGAAGTGATATTTGGCCAGCAGAGGGTGCGGCTCTATATTGTTGCTGGTGTAAAGGATGATACAGCTTTTGCCCCACTTACAAAAAAGGAGATCAGTGTATGTTTCTTTTTTGTTGATAAGTTCCAACTTTAAGCAATCCTTCTATATGTATTTGCAGTTTTTCTCATAACTTCAGAGCACATATCCTATTAACTTGTGTTTAGAATGCCAAAATTTCAAGCAACTTCCCATTTGGGCTGTTTTTAATTCTCAGTACCTGTCAACAATAGATGCCAGACATTTGTATTACCTCTTATTACTTGGTGTTTTGCTGCCTATCAGAAATGAAGAAAATTAAAAGAGACCTTTAGAGAACTTTCTTTGCAAATAATGGAGAGGATATCTAAGATATTGTATCTTTTAAAAAGTAAAATGCTGACAGCAAGCTTTGGTATGGTTGCAGGAAATTGCTTGGCACCGGCTTGATGATCTTCAACGAGCAACTAATGAAGTAATATCTCGTGGGATCACTGGCCTAAAGCTTTATATGGTTGCCCCCATCTTAGCGTGATTAATTTGTTATTAGATTATGATTAATTTTCAAATGCTTTTACATTGTTGGGTAAATTGCTCATATATGATGTCTTTATGCAGATCTCTGAAGTCATGGATTTCAAACAATCCGCCCCCGCTACCTCCAAGACCAGATTTGCCTCTAAAAGGTTTTCCCCTTTCCTTTATTTTTCGGTTTTTGTTTTAGGTACTTAGATGTGTCATTAATTAACTCAACTGTTGTGACTTTTACATTCTGGCCTTATCTTAATCTACTTTTGGAGTTTTGCTCACATAAAGATTTGAAAGCCTTATCTTAATCATATTAGTTTGATTGATTAATTTTAGCGCAGTTATTATGTTCTCTAAAGATATGGGTACCATGGAGATGTTTTAGTGTGTGTTTTCTGATGTGTATTTTTTCTCGAATTGTTAAGGAATCTCTATTTGGAAAGTAAAGAACACTTCCATAGGAAGTTACTCAATGATTGTAGAGAGCCAATCTAATAAGCTTCCATCCAATGCTAAGCCGCCTGACACTGGTCCTGGAAAGAGCTTCAGAAACTTTAGATTCGATACCGCTGCAATATTAAGAGCATTGGAAGGTAGCTTTTCTACCTGAAGATCAGACTCGGTTGTTATTCGTGACATCCTTTAATGTTGGCATAGCTGGGACGTTTTTGTTGCTAGAACTTATTCGGTTGTATATTCCTGTGTCATGTCCGGGTTCGTTTGACATGTAAATTCTGTATAGGAAAAGAATGTATGGTGGCAACGTATGCTGGTCTTCTTAACTGGTCTGCAAGTAAAAAGCTGGTGATTGGTGAAATAGTAATAGTATAGTACCCTTTGTATGGCTTAACAGCTCCATCACTGAAAGCTGCACATTTTGTTGATTCTTGTTTTTTTAATGTTGTATTTGATCTTCTTTGTACTACTTTTTAAGGCCCCATAATCTTTTTTAATCTATTCATTCATACACCAATTGACAACTATCGGGTTGAGTTGGGTAAAATTTGAAGAAGTGGGTGTTTAATGTTTTATTTTGTTTCAATTTAGGTTGTTCATTAGAAAAATTTATCGAATGTAAAAAGTTCAAATTTTAAATCATGCATTGAGGATGTTCAAATCCAAATCTAAGTTCACTAAAATTCTATACAACGAATGTCTGAATCTGAATCTACAATCCACTTGTTTCCGCTAGAACAATCTTTCAATTCAACGTATCGATCCAATAAAGGTAGTGATAATAACAAGGATAACAACACTAATTTTCCCGCACGAATATATTGGCCAATATATAAATTTGAAATTTGAATAAAAAATGACAAAGGAGTAACACATTTATGGGTTTTAGATATATCTATTTAAATTTAGGATTAAAGCACACCCTGATTATAGGAGATTGTTTTATTGAATCCCTCGACTATTAAAAGTTACTTAATAGTCCATCGACTATAGGAAGCTGCTTTATTTAGTACCGACCATTAAAAGTTACAAAATAGTCACTTGACTATTCACATGTTCTAAGCTCGTCATTTTTCGTTAACAGAATGGCAAACGTATGAGCTGGATGTTAACATTTTGATTGGGATATGATAAAATATGACATAAGAACTGTTTGAAATGTATTTTATGGATCGAATCTCTATTTATATTATGCCATTGAGCTAATGCTTAAAATATTATGTCGTCGAGTCGGTGCTTGAAAGCAACGACAATGCCAATAGACATCATTAAAAATGTGATTTTATCATATCACAATCAGCATGTTAACGTCTAGCTCAGATAGTCGTCGATTTTCTTAACGGAAAAGGACAAGTTTAGAATATATGAACAGTCAAGTGACTATTTTGTAACTTTTAATAGTTGGAGGACTCAACAAAATAATGTCCTATAGTCGGGTATCATTTTGTAACTTTTAATAGCCAAGAGACTAACAAAACAACACCCTATAATCGGGGGACCGTTTGTATACTTTACCCTTAAATTTATCCGATATATTAATTTAAATAACTCTAAAATCCTAAATTTAAATTCTAAACCTTAAATCTTATGTCTCGAATCGTGGTGGTCTGAGGAATTGTTCTTGTGTGGCTGGCTGTGCTGTCGTGGAGTTTTATTGGCATGTTGGTCTTGGTTAGGTTCGTTTTGGCTTTAATATCGATTTAGGGCACTCTTTTTCCTCCATTTAGAGGTAGGAAGGTTTTCTAACGATGTTTCATTTTGTATGAAGGGTTCTATTTTAATCGTACGAAATCCCCTTTTCGAAAAGAAAAAAAAATATCAAATTCTAAAACCTATAATCCTAAATTTTAAAATCTAAATAAGATACACATGACAATATTAGAATCCAGTTTCTAAAATATTTTTGGTTTTTAAATTCAGATTATTTTCATTATTGTTAGTTTGAAATGCTTTCGATTCGAGTTGCTTTTAATTTGGGTCAAATTGGGTATGTGTAGTAATGTCCAACTAAAATTTGGGTTGGCTTTGATTTAATTTGATTTTAGGGTTTAGATCAAGTTTTGATCATGTTCGGGTTCATATCGAACCTCGATCGAAAAAATTAATTTGGGTAATCGAGTTTCAGATCAAGTTTCAATCAACATATTTAGATCCATATCAAATATAGAGTCGGATAAATCGATTCAGATAATCAAATTTATCAGGTTCATGACATGGGCCAATGTACCTCAAAATGGTAAAATTTCCTTTCCAATATCTTTAAATTATAGATTTGAAATTTTAGTGAGTAAGATTTTTAATAGACTGAACAATTGAATATTAATTAAATTGCCATCCTTTATTTATATTCCATGTATGTGTGCATGCTTTGAATTTGTACAATAATGACTCATAAATACAACTTTCTAAAAAAGGTATTAAAAAAAACTTGTCTCCTCAATTTATTAAAAAGAATTTAATAATATTTTCCATTGAAATTCCACAATAAAACGGTCAAATTGTTGGAATTGTAAATATATATATATATATATTTATGACAACTTTAGTCAATTTCTTGACCAACTTGTCCCCCCCATAATAACTTTTATCCACTATTTTCACTGACAGTAAAGCAGTTAAAAAACAAAGCACCTTTCTTTTTCCTGTGTTAAAAAATACTTCAAAAAGTTGACCCCACCATTATTTTTTAATCCGAAATGGAAAACACTTTTTCACACAAAGGGCAAATTTGTCCACAAAAAGTCCATAATTAGTGGTGCTCCTCCATTCTTTTGCCGACGGCGGTGGCGTTTTGGCCCCACGCGGTTAACGTCAAGCGCGGCAGATTATAAATAAATTACATTAAAAAAACTATTTTTTGGTCGAATTTGGTTTTGGCCCCTTTACCATACTTAGTCCTTATACTTCAATTTGATACAATTAGATCATTTATTATTTTGATTGAAATGATTTTAAAGTAATATATATTCATAATATTTTTAATTATTGACAATATATATATATATTGTAAATATAACTATTCGAATTCGAGTCTTTTAAAAAGAATATCATTTTCTTTTATAACTTATGTCACTAAATAAGTTTATCACAACTATTTTTATCAAAACATCAGTTTTATAGTTTAATTACATAGAAACGAAAAAAAGATATTTTTGGTCGAATTTGTTTTTGCTCCCTTTACTATGCTTAAACTTACTCAATCCTCATAATTTAATTTGATCATTTATTATTTTGATTAAAAATGACACTTATTTTTCTTAAAACATCATTTCTATATTGTTATCAATGGTGTATCTTGGTAAAATAATTTGAAGGGTCTATATAAAAGTTCCAAAATTTTAGAAGTTTAAAATTAAATTTTTTGATTTTTTTTGATAATTAGTGAAAATTTTAAAAATTTCACAGAATAATTAATTAAAAATATTTTTAAAAAATAAAAATTAAAAAAATTAGAATTTTTAAAGAAGTCAAATTTAAAATTTGAAGAGCCAAATTTTAATCTTTTAAAATTCTAGGAATTATGGTCCCTTTGACCCATTACCGTCCACATAAATATTTTATCCATAATAGCTAATGATTTGATTATTTAAATTAATTAATAAAATTATAAAAATAAAGAGATTTGATTATGTCAGATTATTGTGTAGAGATTAAATCCAAAGTTTGAGCCTACTACAGGGACCAAACTAAAATTGACCGAACCATATTTTACATATTTTGACCGTTTGTCACGGACCAGTGATATTGAACAATTGTGACCGTTCGATCAAAAACAAACAAACGATCACATCCGTCAGTTAACCCTTACTGTTCTTGAAATGGTAAATTAAGTACTTATTTATTTATAAAACTAAAATAAGCAGACATCCTCTGGAAGCAAACTGGCGTTCTTGTTCTTCCCTTTCTTTTTTTCTGGGTTCTGTTCTTTGTCTTCATGGCTTTCATTTTCGAGGGATTTTTGTATTCTTTGCTCATCACTTAACCAAATAGAAAACCATCAGATATTATAATAGATTGATATGATTTTGAAGATTTTTTTATGGTTTTGAAGATAAAGATTTGGTTGAACCTTCTTTTCAAATAAGGTGATACTTACTCTGATTTTATGTTAATTTTGTTGATTAATTGTTTTGTTGTTTTGAAGCTAAACTCGACAATTTTTTATCTGGGCAGATGAAATTGGCGTTAATCTCAAGGTTGACGATGAAGTGAAGTGTGATTTCATAAAAAAAAAGAAAAGATTTTTGGTTTGTTTTTTAGTGTTTTTGATTCTGGGTTTTTGATAATGTCGTCGACTGCTTCATCGGAGATGCAAGAACCGAGCATCGACACCGACAAGTTAAGCTACGAAATATTTTCGATTCTTGAAAGCAAGTTTTTGTTTGGGTACGATGATGATCAGAAGCTATGGATTCCGAAACCGATTTTGCCGGCGTCTGAACCGAGGCCGTTGATTCAACCGGCTGACGAGAATAGCGCGTCGGCGATCAAGAACCAGAGAGGTAAAATCTGTATTCTGAGCATCGATAGTGGCGGCATGAGGGGGATTCTTAGCGGGAAAGCTTTGGCTTATCTGGAACACGCGTTGAAATCCAAGTCCGGTAATCCGAATGCTCGAATCGCCGATTATTTCGACGTCGCCGCCGGTTCCGGCGTCGGTGGAATCTTCACCGCTATGCTTTTCGCTACCAGAGATGGCAGCCGCCCGGTTTTTACCGCCGAGGAGACGTGGCGGTTCCTTGCTGAGAATGGGAAACGGATGTACCGGTCCGGGAATGGTAAAAACGGCGGTATTTTGAAGAAGATTTTGAAAAACGGTTCGGCCGGGTCGGGTTCAACCGGTTTGGAAAAAGTGGTTAAGGAGGCGTTCAAGGCGGACGGTTCGGATGGAAGGAGTTTAACGTTGAAGGATACGTTGAAACCGGTTTTGATCCCCTGTTACGATCTTTCGAGCACAGCGCCGTTTTTGTTCTCGAGGGCGGATGCACTGGAGACGGACAGTTTCGATTTCCCGTTATCGGATGTCTGTCGGGCGACGTCTGCTGAACCGGGTTTATTTGAACCGGTTATGATGCGGTCGATAGATGGTCAAACCAGTTGTGTGGCGGTCGACGGTGGGTTGGCGATGAGTAACCCGACGGTGGCCGCGATCACGCACGTGTTGCATAATAAACAGGAGTTTCCTTTCGTCAGAGGAGTCGAGGATTTGTTGGTGCTGTCGTTGGGGACCGGTTCATTACTCGAAATAAGCTACGAGTACGAAAAGGTCAAGAATTGGAGGGTCAAAGATTGGGCTAAACCGATAGCTCGAATATCCGGAGACGGTTCAGCCGACTCGGTGGACCAAGCCGTTGCCATGGCGTTCGGACAATGCAGAAGCAGTAATTACATAAGAATTCAGGTAAATATATTTCAGCCAACTCAATATTCCATCAATTTAAATATATGAAAAATAGTCATTCTCGTAATAAATGTTTAGTATTAGGGTCAATTTTAGATAAATTATTTATTTTTGGACATTTTTTTTGACGACTTTTGTTTAAGAATAATTATAATTCGGATTGGGTTTGGGTTAGATCAAATTTTTAACCCATTTAAACATGACCCGAGCATAATACTCCTCCATCATTCAATCGATTTAACTTGGATTTTAAGAAAGTTTGACCTAACTTGAAACTCGAATCTAGTACAAATGTATATAAAAAAAATTATTTTTATTAAGTAAAATAATGATCTAATTGAAAAATATGGATGATAAGTCTTATAGTAATTATTATTTAATATAAAAAAGTTAATTATATTATTATTTTCAAGTCTGATTAGATCAAATATTTTTATCTTACACTCGATATGACTTTATCCTTCAACGACCAAACTTGATTTCTTTTAGAAAAACATCAACAAAGCTTCTACTTTTAATAAACAATAAAGGGATATGCATTTTATTCGAATCCGAAAGATTTTAACTCGATCTAAGATTTTTTCTAAAAGAAATAGAGTAAAATGCATGTCCCTATATTGTTTATTAGAAGTAGAAGTTTTGTTAGGTGTGTGGGGACATACCATTTGAGTAAAGCAGGAAGTGATTCATCTCACCATATCTAGTGTAGTGTGGTAAAGCATGCCTTCTATAATATTTAGCTCACTTAACGATTATCATGGATATCTTTCGAATCCGGAATTCAAATAACATAGATAAGAATCATGATTTATGATCTTTTAGTAATGTTTTTTTCTTAAAATATTCGTGTTCGATACTAGCATCTTTTGTCTAGCTATAATAGTTTCTTTGGTTGCTATGAAAATTTTGGTGAGACAGGCAAACGGGAGCAATTTAGGGCGATGTGGACCAAACGTAGATACAGATCCCAGCCCCAGCAACGTAAAGCTGCTGGCGGCCATTGCCGAGGAAATGTTGAAGCAAAAGAACGTCGAGTCGGTGTTATTCGGAAGCAAAAAGCTGGCCGACAAAACTAATTCCGAGAAACTCGACGCTTTCGCCGCTCAACTCGTGCTTGAACATCAGAGGCGGAGTTGTAGGATCGCTCCCACAGTTGCTTTCAAGCAACCTAACCCTAAACCCTCTCCCTAAGAAAGAATTTTTCTTTAAAAAAAAATTGTACCAAATATAATTTTATTATAATTATTGTATAGTCTTTTTCATATTCCATGCAATGATATAATATATAATATTTTTAATGTTTGTTCGAAGAAGGCATCATATAGTGGACCCTTCCATTAATGTAGATGATCAAATGGGGACATCTGTTTTATTAGAAGATGCTGACATCTTTTAATGTTATAAAGTCGTGAAAATATTTATTGGGTTTTAATGATTTTACTCCAACTATATTATCTATTAACCTCGGATACATAATATATAGTGTTCCATTGGCCTGAATTGTCATTTCCTCCGATTTAAGTAAATAAAAAATAACAAGAAGGGGGGGAATAGTGCTGTGGGGAAGACAGCTCCCGATGTTGTCTGCCGACCGACACTCGTGCTTTGAAATTTTAAAGATTTAAAGGGTAATTTAGTCATTTTAATATATAAATCTCCAATTCCAATCAAATAAAAGTTGTCCGACTCCGTAGTCCCAAAAAAGGGGTTGCCGCTTTTAGTTTTTATTTTAATAACTGTAATTATTATATAATATTTATTTATTTAATTATTAATAACACATAATAATTTTATGATTCAAATTTTTTTTTAATCCAATCAATTAAAAATTATTATTTAAAGAATTCATTAAGTGGTTTCAGTAATTAAAGGAAGTGTTATTTTATTTTAAGATTATGAATTCGAACAAATACATCTCCAAAGTATGTGTACACTATTAATGGTTAAGAAAAATTATAAATAAATATTACATTATAATTACTTTAGATTATTCAACTAAAAATCATTACTTGAATATCAAAAACAAGATAAACGTATTTATATTCAAGCCTTATACCATTACATTTATGTTGATTTGTTAATTAAATATTCTATAATATAATTATTTTTAAATAAACAAAAGATTCATTTTAAATTTAAAGTATACATTTCATCATAAAAAATAGGTATTCTTCACCCACATTTTAAATCAAAACGAATTTAGTTGAAGTTTTAAATCAATTTTTTATAATATAAAAATAAAATGTTTATTTTAAATTAAGAGTAAGGATGAAAAAGAATTAGAAACTAACATGTACGACACCTTTTACTTTTTACAAGTGAAGATGTCAACTATTGTAAACAAAAGGGTTGGGGGATAGATCTTTGTGGGATACTTTGTCTATTAGAGGACAAGCATGACTCGTCTTTCTACAATTATATTAAAAGGTTTGAATCTAATTTATTGATCGATCGAGTCAAAAATTAATAATTCATTTAATTTATTAAGTCCATATAAATTAAAGATTTGACTTTTCTTTTTCATTTAACAAAATTAGAATTACGGAAAACTTTATATTTTTTTTGGCATAATGTTAAAATTAACCCTCTAATATTTATTGAAATTGTTATTTCCACCTCTATTCCGTTTTTTAGCATAATGCTAATATTAACTCCCAACGTTTATCAAAATGGACATTTTGCTCCCTATTCTATTTTTTGGAGTATTTTAACTTTCATCGTTTCATTTTAAGGCACAAAAACCCCTAACATTTAATAAAATAATCACTTTTTCTCTTATCTTTTTGGGCATTTTAGGTTAAAAAAACTCATATTTTAGAGTGTAAATCGTGTGTTGACTAATAATTTTTGTCTATAGAGTGAGTTTTTTGCCCCAAAGTGAAATGTTAGGGGTTAAAATGCTCAAAAAAAGATAGAAGAATATGGGTCAAAATGACTATTTTGATAAATATTAGGGTTATTTTTGGCATTATGCCCCTTTATTACTATTTTGGCCCATAATGTTTCATTTTCGGGTAAAAAATCCATCAATTAATGAAAACCACTAGTTAACAAACAATTAGTGCTCTAAAACAAGGGTCATTTTTATCTTATAATAAAATATTGAGATCCAAAATGCTCCATAAACAAAGGATCAAATGACTATTTAGTCAAATATTAGAAATCTTTTTATTTTAAAATAAAACGTTAGAAGATCAAAATACTATAAAAAATAAAAAGAGTAAAAATGACTATTTTAATAAATAGTGACAGCTAATTCTGACATTATTCTTCTTTTTGTTTTTTCATGTCACTTTTTTCATTTTAATTTTATTGCATAGAAATTGTAATGGTGGAGGAGGAGGTTGTGGAGTATCTTTTGACAAGCAACCTACCATGCCCCTGGAGATAATAGGATTTGGTAGATCGAGTCAAAGTTGATGCAATTATTGTTTTCATATTGTGCTATTGTGATGTTCAATTTTTTTCATACTTATATAATATTTTTATGCATTATTAATCCATATTATATGTATTTTAAATATATATAACATTTCAAACCAATAAAATTTAGAAATATTGTGGGCGAAATATTTTTCTTCTTCTTGAAAATTGTATTTATTGAAAAATTATTTTCGTATTTAAGTTATTTGTTACAATATAAGTAAAACTAGTCACGAGAGAATGACAAATTATATTAAAAAAATCAGAACTTGTCATATGAACTGAAAAAAATTGTATAGAACTTGTCATGTTGTTCTGACGAGATTCAATTATTTATTCTATTTTATATATCTTATCATTCTCTCATGACTAATTTTACGTGTACTGCAACAAATAACATAGATCTTGCTTGGATTATTTGAACAAAAAAGTAATGTTAAACTATATTTTTATATTATCGATTAAATTTTACTGGTGTCATCGGTTAATTAGGTATCAACTCAATACCAATTTGGTAAGCAAATGAATGAAGAATTAATTTTACAATAATAATTAATATTATTGTAAGATATTTTTGTCTCTAATATTTTTATATAATCTTTAGGATACTACATCCTATATCACTTAATTTTATGCGGTATATCGCTTATATCACTAAACCTTTAATTGCTCCAATTATAGCACTAAGATTTTGTTTTTAACTTTGATTGTACCTTGAATCATTAAATTTTGATGACACAATAACGTGGATGGACATTTCTATCATTGTGATGATATTGACAAAATAATATTATTTTGGTGTGACTATTGATGTTTAAAACGACGTCGTTTTAAACCTTAAACTTTAAAATTGTACAAATTTTCCAGCTAGACTTTTTAAGCATATCACTTTTTCAAGTGACAAGATGAACCGAGTAAACGGCATACTTGTTGGGTTTAACTTGATAGAACTTTCCCACGTGTGATTAAATATAAAAATGGCAAAGATATTAGGGTAAAGTACATAAATGGTCCACGGGTTATAGGATACTTTGTTAAATCCCCTAATTATTAAAAGTTACAAAATGGTCACACGACTATTCATATGTTCTAAACTCGTCTTTTCTGTTAAAAAAATGGTGGTTGTCTGAGGTGGACGTTAAAATGTTGACTGAGATATGATAAAATCTAATCCAATATCGTTTTAGTTGTATTTTATGGATCGAATCTTCGTTTACAATTTTCATTATGTCGTTGAGCCAATGCTTGAAACATTATGCTGGCGAGTCAGTGTTTGAAAGCAACTAATGTGTCGATATAATAGGATTTTATCATATCTCAGTTAACAGATTAATGTCCAACTGAAACATACATTATTTCTTTAATGGAAAATGACGAGTTTGGATTATATAAATAGACGGATGATCATTTGTACCTTTTAATAGTTAGGGCATAAACAAAACACCGTCTTATAGTCAATGGATCATTTTATAACTTTTAATAATCAGATGAATCAATAAAGCAACACACAATAATCAGAGATCATTTGTATATTTTACCCAAGATAATATTATTGCTGGTGCATTATCTTAAAAATGAAAGAAGAATAATATGTTTAGATTCAAATCATTCAAGAGATTTTTTTTATAAAAAAATTAAAATTATTATTTTAGCCGATGATTTTATGAGTATAATATAAAAGCACACGTGGATATGTAATATATATATATATATATATATATATTCTTCACTTAAATAATTGGTAAACAGCTTTCGAGAGAGGCCTTTCAAAGGAAAGTAAAGCTTAAAAAATGAAAATATTTAATTGTTTTTATACCAAAGGGGAAAAAGCTATTAAAAATGGTCGTTTCTTCTTGGAATTGTCAATTTGGTCACCGATATTTGTCACACCCCAAATTTTAATTTAAAATATATTTATTTTATTTTATTTAATTAAGGGACCAAGATGGACAGTTCTAAAAAATTATGGGTCAATCTCGATTGTTTGGGAAATTTTAAAAATGCCAATGTGTGGCTGATAGATTTTGAACCCTTGTCCCCAGGCATAGCCGGTCATCCCTTTACTATCCAACCTAGGTCACTGTTTATAAATAATTTAATTAAAAATATCTTATAATGTTTCAGGCTCGATTTTAATATCCAAAAACCATTTCCTATGTTTATGAAACCCCGAACCCATTCTCAAGATCTAAAACCCATTTTCCCAAAAAACAACCTCCCATTGTCACAATCTTCAACTGCCGATCTTCCCTGCTATGGTCGTCGCTGTAGTACACCGACATCCTCCCGTGACCCTACCCCGGCCATTAGACCTCTGGATTCGACCACCATCCGTCGCGAAGAATGAGAAATTTGTTCGGTTCCTCAATCATCGATCTCGGCTGCCACTCCTCATGAGAGACATCGCCGACACCAACTGAAGTGTCATCTCATTCCAACTGCAACCCAGGGTTCCACACTCGTCGAAACCCTGCGTTCAAAAGCTGGAAGAAAAACTCAAGTTCTCCCCTCGGTTTCTCGTGTTTTTCGACCGTCACGATTGTCCTCTTGCCTCACCGCCGCCACCACTAAACTCCCCACCTCCGTGCGCTCTAAACCCAACCGGTGGGTCACGTCGATATCGCATGTTTCATCTGTCCGTCGTGGGTAAACTTTCGGTCGTTTTTATTCAAAAAATTTCACTGTGTTTTGGCTATTTGTTGCATTGATTTACGAGGATATGATGTTTGGTTGCTTTGTAAGTGTTCAGCTATGTGCTTTGGGTAAGTCCTT